CTGATAGTGAATTAGATGAACATATGTGTATGTTTGAAGAACAAATAGAGCATGAAGAATTTAAATATGTTAATTTAGGATGGCCTCAAGAGTGTAATCAATGTAAGAAAATAATAGTAGAAAAATATTACACTAAGACAATAGTTTATTGTAAACCTTGTTTTAATAATAGACCAATAGAAATAAATACAGTTGAGATAGATAATCAAAAGAATAATTGCCCTAGTATAGAAAAACGAAAGACTAGTTCATTAATAACAATTAATTGTGAGTTAGAATTATCAAAATAAAATAAAATTTAAACTACAGCCATGATAGATACAGGAAGCACAAAAATGTAATAAAAGAAGAGTTAGTACCAGAACAATTTAGGCAGAAATTAGCTAGGCCAGTAAAAATCATACAGTTTGATACAAGACCTGTATACTTAACACATTGTATTAATAATATACCAATTAAGATAGAAAAACAACAGTTTAATTTACCCTTAACCTTTATATCCCCAGTAGGATCATATCCATTTATCTTAGGATTAAATTTCTTAAAAAGTTTACAAGGAGGATTTTTATATACACCTCCAGACATTACATTTTTTAAGAAAGGTATAACCACAACGGATCAAAGTAATATATTAGAGTCTTACAATAGTATTAACATAGAAGAACAAAATTTTAAATATAACATGGAAGAATTAGAAGAAATAAGTAAAGAAAAAATAGATGAACAAAATAATCTAGAATATGATGACATAATATTTGATCATGAGTATCCACTTATAGGAAACGTAGAACCTTTAGAAATCATGCAAATAGATAGACCAAAAAATTTAGAAGAATTGTTACAATTAGCTGAACAAACCAGAATTATAGGAGAAGATCCCCAATTACATTGGAATAAGAATAAGATATTAGCAAAATTAGACATTATCAATCCAGACTTAACAATTAAAACAGCAGATATGCCTTGTAACTTGTTAGATAAGCAAGAATTTGAACAACAAATAAAAGAACTTTTAAACTTAAAAGTAATTAGACCTTCAAAATCTAGACATAGATCAGCAGCCTTTGTAGTTAGAAAACATTCAGAACTTAAGAGAGGTAAAGCTAGAATAGTGTATAATTATAGGAGATTAAATGATAATACTTATGAAGATAGTTATAAATTACCAAATAAAGATGAGCTTATGAATAAATTCAAGAAAGTAAATATTTTAGTAAGTTTGATTGTAAATCAGGATTTTGGAAAATTAGATTACAGAAGAATCAATCCATTGGACAACATTTACTTGTCCAGAAGGACATTTTGAATGGCTTGTAATGCCATTTGGATTAAAAAATGCACCATCAATCTTTCAAAGAAAGATGGATCAAATCTTTAAGAAGTATGATAATTTTTGTAGTGTATATGTAGTTGATATATTAGTTCATAGTAAAAATAAAAATGAACATAGAAAACACTTAGAAATTATTTTAAAGGAATTTATTAATAATGGTATTATTATAAGTAGAAATAAAGTAGAGCTTGAAAAACAAGATATAGAATTTTTAGGTATGTATATTAAGTCAGGAACCATACAATTACAAGAACATATAGCTAAAAAAGTGTTAGAATTTCCAGATAAGTTAGAGGATAAAAAGCAATTACAAGCATTCTTAGGTTTATTAAATTATGCTAGAAATTTTATCCCTGATTTAGGAAGAAAAATTGCAGCTTTACATAGCAAAACTAGTAAAACAGGACAGAAATATTTTAATAGTGAAGATATTAAGTTAGTTCAAAGCATAAAACAAGATACAACTCAACTTAAACCGTTAGCATTACTATTAGATAATAGTTACAAAATAGTTGAAATAGACGCATCATCAATAGGATGGGCAGGAATTTTATATTAAAAGAAACATAAAGAAGAACCAAAATCAGAAGAAAAAGTTTGTAGATATGCATCAGGAAAATTTAATGATATACAGGCTAGACTTCCAGCTACTGACTTAGAAATATTAGGAGTCATTAATTCTCTTGAAACATTTTCATTATTTTTACATAATGAAATATTTACTATTAGAACAGATTGTCAAAATATTGTTTCTCATTATAATAAAATTACTACTAATAAACAAGCAGCCCGAAGATGGATGAATTTTGTTGATTCTATTACAGGAAATGGATTTAAGCCGATATTTGAGCATATTAAAGGTATGGATAATGCATTAGCAGATATCTTATCCCGTATTATTCATTAACAGGTATGCAGTATGTTGGACCATCATCATCTGGCAGCAAAAATAATGGTATACCATCACCTGGTGGTAATCCATTAAGCATAAGTAATCAAGCACGATCAGTAGTAAATACTTATTTTTATAATGGAATATCAGTACAAGAAGTTAGAAATCCTTCTTTAAAGTATCGTACTCAAGCATCATTAGCAGAAAAACAAAAAGTTCTTTTAGATAACTTTTGGAATATTAGAACTAATACTGAAAGCATGAGAAGAGGACATGAAAAGCTTATTAGAGCCCTTGAGCAAGAGTTTTTAGCATATAATTATGATTATAAAATAGCAAAACAACACCTTTCTTTTTTGCAGGAAAAATATACAGAGCAAAAAGGGGAATATGATACAATAGTTAGGCATTTTAGAACTATTAATTTAAGATGTCAAATTCTACAAGAAGAGGCTAATAAGCCCACCGTAATTGAGCATAATTTACAGGAAAAAGAGGCTAATAAGCCCAACTTACTTGAGCAAAATAGTGAATTTTTCTTGAGCAAAAATCTAAAAATCCCTATTTTCTTCAAACTCTAGCTAGAGAAAGGTATAAGTTTTTACCGGTAGATGTTAAGAGTCACATAATTGAATTAGAATATGAGCAAAATACATCTCTTCAACTGTACATTCAATCTTTTCTTTTCAATTTAAAAAGTAATCCACATTCTGGCATCACCATTATTACCAAAAATTGTTCCCATTACACTATTTACTTAGCAAGGATTAACATGATTGAATATAGAGAATTGCATTTAGAGCATAAACAAAAAATAATCATAGTTACTCCAGCATTTTTAGCAAAATTTGGTTATCTAGATCAACTTTATGTTGAAAGTAGTAAGCATTTAGATTCATTCCCCAAAAAATTTAGAGAAATTATAAGTTTTTATCTGCCTCTCTGGAAAAATGTAAAATTAGATTTCACTAGTATACCTCCAGAGTGGTTTAAAGATAGCATTTACCCAAATTTAGCACAACATAGGATTATTATTTCTTTTGATGAATTACTTAGTCCGGGAGAATCAGCACAAATAGGAATGCCTTCTAAGCAAGACATCCAACAATACAGAGGAGCAATAATAGCCGAGCAACAGCTATTTAATGATGATCGTCTGACCCTCTTGTACCAGTCCAAATTTATCAAGGTGTATTCAAAATCCACATTCAGGAGACCAGATGATATACATGAATACAGGATCAGCACTACAGGAGCAAAAGTTTTTGATGAAATCCACAATCATATAGCAGAACAAATTACAGCATAAGATAATGACAACTCATACTGGAATAGCTTAGGAGAAGAAGAGCTACACAACATAGATAACATGATGGATGCATGAAGACCACATGAAGAATCCATCCAGCAGAATAGTCGCCAATCTATTTGGCTCCATACGACCAGTACAAAGCAACATATGAAAAGAAGAAACATTTTTGGTTTCATCCGGCTAGCAGAAGCAGAAGGATTCCCTAGGAAATCTAGATATGAATAAGGGCATTATTGTCCAACCATTTTAATTTTGTCCTTCTTTATAAATATTGTACTCATTTTGGGTTTATTTATAAGTCTCCCTAGGAATTTCTCTTTTCAATTTCTCATCTTCATTCCACTTAAAAGTAGGTTCGTTCATATTTTTACTTGGCATTGTGCATACACATGTTGACACTTCTCGTGCCCATGATGTGGAGGCCTCTTTGATAATGTCGCTTGATCGTTTTACACCTCTCAATCCTTGGCATAGATGAGTTTCAAACCATGGTTTATTCGTGTGTCACTTTATTTTCTTCTTTTGTCTATCTTGGTGGATAGGAGCTTTTATTGATTGATGTTAAAAAAAATTATTGCTCTTAGGTGTCTCGTTGGGCTGGGCTAGGCTAGGCCCTTCCGTTTGTTCGTATCTAGTCTCCTCAATTTCTCTTGTAGATGCTTCTATTAACAACCAATATGATTCTTATTGCACTCAAGGTCTTGGAAGAGAGCTGTGTTATTAGAGTGCTCAAAGCAAGCTGCAAGCCGAGATACATTAGTATGGAATAACATCATAGAATTTCGGTCATATTTTGTTGGTTTAAGTGATCAGAGTAATAATTAATAAAAGAGGCATTCGTATTTCATAGTCAAAGACGAAATTACAGTGAAAGATGATGTTCTTAATTATGATGTTTTCATTAATTAAGAACGAAAGTTGGCGATGGTTTCTTTGGGAAAACCATGGGAGCTTTTGTCTTTTGATGTTCCTGGTTTCTTTGGGAACACCATGGTACCTTTTGTCTTTTAATGTTCTTGCTTTTAAAATGTTCCTGATTTTGCGTGTCTTGTGGGGCTAGGTCATTCGAGTTTGTTATTGTTTCTTCCAAATTTTCCAATCTGCTACTCATTTACATTAAAACAAATCAAAATAATTTCATAAAAATTAGAAAGAAAAAAAAACTCAAGATCATTGTTTTATTTTTATTTAAAATTAATACATCAGATTGCACGGTACGAAATTTTGGATAAAAATTGGATGCCCAGCGATTATGTTTAAAAACAAAAAAAATTCATAATTTACAGATAACTATATATATATATATTGTAATTTATACCCACAAGAGCATGGACAGTCGAAATCACACAAACACAAACAACAAAACAAAACCCAGAAAGGAAAAAGATTATTAAACATCCGATTACACCAAGATCATTAATTTGGTACAACAAAACCCCAATTCATTCAAGCATGAAATTAAATCAATTAGGACCATGAGGGGCAAAGTTGAGCAATTGCTTGGAATGAAGCCATGGCTTCACGACCACTTCCGAATCAAACAGCATGTGAGCCCCATTCCTGACGGCGGAGACCTTGAGATAGTATTTGATCCCAGAAACCACCTGGCTCTGCGCCTCCACCACCTCCAAGAACTGAAGGTCTCCGCCGCCGTTGCTCTGGTGGCTCTTCCGCTGCGTCCGGTTGTACTCCGCCACCGAAAACCTCCCCAACTTCTGAACCTCCTTGTTCGTCTTCACGTCTTCGATCTGCTGCCTGCCGCCGACCTTGGTTCCTCCATACCCATTTGACAAAGCGAACAGGAGGCAGATCAGAAGGGCCAAAATAGGAACTTTCATCATCTTCGGGTGTGTTTATGGGCGAAATTGGTGAATTGGGTTGATGGGTTTTTGGGTTGTGAAAAACTGAAAGATTTTGTTGTTGAGGATGGGGATTGAATTTGATGAGTTTTTGGGTGATTTGGGTGGGTTGTTATATAAGGGACTGTTTAGGCGGGGCTTCTGTGAGAAAAGGGTATGGACACGCAAAATAAGAAGGTGGATGGATTCATTTACAACACAAACGGCGTGCCGCGTCTCTTTTACAATACGCTTTAGTTTGTTGGGGAAAACGACATCTTTCAAACACCTACGTGTACGCACAGTGACTGAATGAAACTCAGAGAGAGAGAGAGAGAGAGAGTTTTGATGGGATTCTCTTTCTCTCTCTTTAAAATTGCTTTTTTGGGAAATCAAAATTCATTTCTTATGGCTTTCTGCTTGAAGCAGCCGCTTGAGAGATGACCACCTTTGCCATCTCCATAATTTCAATTTTATCAATTTTTACTTATATAGTGTTAAATTTCTGTGAATTCAATGACACATTATAAATTCTATTAAAATACTCATCTATGTCAACGACACGTTTTCATATTATCACGAAAGTGAATGAAATTTTAGACGCATTCTTAAATTACGAGAATATCAAACTATATAAGTTGAATTGCAATACTTGAAATAACAGAAAATCACAGGGATAGAGTGGAAAATCCACCCAATTACAAAGATTAAAAGTGATTTTCTTTAGAAAAATATAGAATTGAAGTGGATTTTAATAATGGAGTTGAACAATTTTGTTGTGAATTTGGATGAGCACATCCACTGTTATTATTTTGATTCTTATCGTCTCGGGTTTTGCTGGCATGGCTGGCATGGCTGGGTAAGTTTTGTTTTTATGTGTGATCATCACACCGAGTATGAGAGGGTGACACGAGCTGGGTAATTGCCACGTTGGAGAATGCATGCTTGCAACTTGCGTAGCGTTGTGTCGTGTTGTGGAGTGGAAAAAGAGGTTTTTTTATGGGAGGAAAAAGCCAAAACGCACGGCGAATCCGTTTCAAAGCGTTACCTGAGGCCTTGTTTGTGGGCCGGACTAAACTGCTTTAGATTGGGCTGGTTTGGCCTTGCCTTAATTTTGAGTTTATTTAGTACAACCAATAATTCTGTAGTGAGGACTTATAGAATGACTCGTTTGATCAAATTGATTAGTCTGATTTAATGGTTAAGATATAATACCTTATCTAAATGCCATATATAAAGCCCTCACTATAGAATGACTCCTTGGTACAATTTTAAGTTGGACCAGCCTGCCAACGAAGTCTCACATAATAAAAAAGAGTATTGACTTGCAGACTAGAGGTCACATGTTCGAATCTCATGATATGTTAATTGTGTGTGTGTATGTGAGACATCTTCATTCTCTGTAGTTTAGACTAACGCTTGTATGAAAAAAAAAAAAAAAAAAAAACTTATACTTAAAAAATCTGAAATATTCATCTCAAATATAATAAAAACAAGTCATAATTCAAACTACATCTCAAAATTAGCTCTATGATGTGCCATAATTTTCATCTCATACTCATACCTATCTACACCATCATCTAATGTATTGAACACACGCATTTATCAGTTCAATTGATAAAGTAAGTAATGAAATCAAGGGTAGAACTAGGAATTGTTCATCGGGTGAGCTAACTAAAGTTACTAGCTTAAACTCTAACGATTTTTTGTTGTTGGTATTTATAGTTTCTATATATATTTTAGAAATAAAAATATATATTAAAACATATACACTACGTGAGTTCAATGTTCCATTGACAGATTTTTAATAAAATTTAACATAAAATAAATACATATTAAATGCAACCAAAAAACACCTATTATCCAAATGAAAATATGTTCAACAAATCCTGGAGAGAATTGTAATGTTTTGTTTGAATTTGAATCGATATTGTTAGCAAGTTCTTTATCAATGTAGACAATCATATAATTTGTTTAAAAAAATCATTCTCTGTTTGAACTGCATTGTGCATATCCTTAGGGTTAGCTAATTTTAAAGGGTGATATGATGACAATTAACATGAATATTGACAAAAATTAAGGAAATATTATGAGAGAATAGGAAAAGGTAGAGAGTTAAAGTCACGAGCCTTACTAGGGGATTATATTTCTTAATTGAGCAAACAAATTAATCTTAGATGATTATAGGTCTACAAAGTTGAGTGGATAATGAGTTACTAGGCTACGTTTTGTGGGCTACTAAACTTTTATGTGGTGAATCAAATTAAAATGTATAAAGCCCATGATAGCCCTCATGCTAGTTCCGTACTTGAATGAAATGCAATATGAAATAAAAAGCCGTATCTGTTTGAACTCGTGTCCTACAAATTTATGATCATGATCCTCATTATACTCATTAGGCTATCAACTGATCTTTACACTTTTGGCATATGATATGAGTACTCCATCATACTCTCAAATGCATTAGAAATACTCTCTCAAACACTTTGTTTCCTTGTCTTTTCCTTTTGTTTCTTGACGATGATGATTTGGATTGACCTCCAGCGTGGCTAGGATTTATGTATGTTTACAGTTGCTAATTTGAGCAGAAGTGTATAATATTGGTTTGTCATGTATCAATTTCTTGGTAAAGGTTGCCAAAGAAAAAATGGTTGCAAATTGCAAAGGAATCTTGACCGTACAAATAAGGTAAGTAAATCAAGGGGCCATACGATGCGCATCGGGTTTACTGAAAAACTCCATCAAAACGCTCCAGATCCAACACAATTTCAAAACTGCTTTTTGTTGCGACTTCAAGAGAGAGAAGAGAATCAACAAGAAATGACAATAATTATTTAAAAACACCCTGCATCACGTGCCTTTTCAATTTTCCCCCAAATCTCCCAAATTCAAATCTCTCTTTCGCTCTCCTCCTCCAACGGCTACCCCTCTCTCTCTTCCCCTTCTCTCTCGCTCTCTTGTCCTTCCAAACCCTACTCTCTCAGTCTCGCACTCTCAGATTCACGTTTCTCTCTATCTGAAATACTCATTTTCGCTCTCTACAATTCGCGATGAAGCACTTCATGCAGCCGAGAAACACTATATTGAGGGAGGCGACGGAGCCTACCTCGTCGCCAAACCCTAGCTACGGCAAGCCCAGGCCACCTCGGAAGCCCAAGGCCTCCAAGGAGAATGCTCCTCCCTCGGATCCGAACTCCATGGCCCCCGATTCGAAGCCTTCGCCGGCGGCGAAGTTGAAGAGTCCATTGCCGCCTCGGCCACCGCCGTCGAACCCTCTCAAGCGGAAGCTCAGCGTTGACTCTCAGACCGAAAACTCTGTCCCTGGGACCTCCGATTCTGGTGTCCAGGTACTTTCGCATTTCTAGACATCTTTTCTTGTTTCTTTCTTTCTTTTATCATTAAATTCTGGGGAAATCTGTTTGGTTGATGCGAAATCTTGTGCGTTTTGTTGAAATATTTATTGCCTTTTTGAGTTGAATATCGTTTTTTTCCCCTCTATTTTAGTATCGTTTACCATTCGTTTGCTGTCTGTAGCGTTTGGTTCTTGACTCGCTTCTGCTTGGTTGCTGAGAAATCTTGTGTTTTTTTGTTAAAATCTTTCTAAATTTAACTTTACATCATTTGCCCTCTATTTTAGTATGTTTACACTGCTATTGCTGTCTGTAGCTTTTGAATGCTAACTCACTTTTGTTTAGCTGCTGAGAAAGATTTTATTTTTATTTTTTATAAAAATATAAAAAAAAGGAATTTTGAATGAGAGGAACTAAAGAAAATGGCGTTTCTACCTCAAATAGGGAGTCGTTCTTATATATCAACTTTAGTTTCTTATTGTTAATTTTCCGTTTTATTGGACCTTTTTTAGCCTTGTTTCCTTTTTCTTTTATTTTTAAATTGATAAATTGACGAAATCTTCTATTTTTGTTGATTTTTTTTAGTGGATATCATTTCTCTCTCTATTTTAGTATGTTTGCACTTGATTATAGACCCACTTTTGTTTGTCTGCCAAGAAAATCAAAACGAATTAAGAATCACAGAAAATGCCTCTTTTTTATTTTATTAAGTCCACTACAGAGCGTTTCTTATATGCTAACATTAGTTTCTAATTATTCTTTAGTTCACCATATAGCTGTTCTTTTTTCTTTCTGTTTCCTTTTGTTTTCTTTCAGTGAGTCCTTTTGCATTTCCTTAGTTGTGACAAAATCTTTATTAATTACTCTTAATTTTTTTTCTTTCTTAATATGTATAGGTAGTAGTGAGAATGCGACCGCCACGAAAGGATAAGGATGAAGGAGAGATGATGGTACAGAAATTATCTAGTGACTCTTTGTCGATAAATGGACAGACCTTCACATTTGACTCGGTTTGCGACACAGACTCTTCACAGGCATGACTCTATCAAAATGGTATTCTTGTTTAGCTGATTTTAGAGTGGATTCTTATCTTTTGTTGTGCATATCATTGCAGCTAGATATTTTCCAGCTTGTAGGAGCACCTCTAGTTGAGAATTGTATGGCAGGTTTTAACAGTTCTGTATTTGCATACGGACAGGTCTGTTTCCATTTGTGTTTTGCTTCATTCTATGTGTGTTATGTTGGGATGTTGATTCCATTTCTTATTCTACATGTTCTGATTATTCAATCTATCAGACGGGAAGTGGAAAGACATATACCATGTGGGGTCCAGCCAATGCCTTGCTGGATGAAAATCTATCAAGTGATCAACAAGGGTTAACCCCTCGTGTTTTCGAGCGTCTTTTTGCTCGCTTAATGAGGTGAGCTTTAATTTTTTTCTTTAGTAAATCAAGATTACACAAATTGATTGTATATTATATAAAAGGTTTCCCTACATTATTTGGGAATTAATCTTTACAGGAGCAAATCAAGCATGCTGACAAACAACTCAAGTATCAGTGCCACTGTTCTTTTCTCGAGGTAGAAATTCTGAGTAATTATTCATTTTGGTTGACTGGTAATTGGTCAATAGCCTTTTAACTTCTTTCACTTGATTATCGGCTTATTTGCAGATTTACAATGAACAAATCACAGATCTTTTGGATCCAAATCAAAAAACCCTTCAGGTAAATGTAATAGTTTGGCTTTTTCATTATCTTATTTACTATAAGTGGTCTGGTGTTAATAGGTCTTCTATCATTATTTTTCAAGATAAGAGAAGATGTTAAATCAGGTGTCTATGTCGAAAATCTCACGGAGGAGTGTGTACGCACTATCAAAGATGTGACTCAGCTTCTGATAAAGGTTTGCTTTATTATTTTACTTGTACAATAGGCATAGTGTATATGACACAGTTGAAGATCCTTTTATTGGAATACAAATAATTCTCCCTCAGGAACCTGTCTTTCAAATGTGGAATTTTAGTTTTGTTTGTATATTCAATTTGACAATTATATATCCTGGTTATTTCTGTGATCTGGTAGCTCTCATTGGATGTTGATGACACTAGTTTCTTTAGCTACATGCAATATTACCAAAGAGTAAGAATTTTTTCTGATGATAAGATGTATCACATATCGAACCAATCGTTTTGAATAACAAAGTAGGAGAAACAGATTTAATGGATCAGAAAATAACGTAAAGGGAAGGGATCTCTTTGAAGTTCTGCTGGCTGTTTGGTTTTTGGCATGGATCTTCTTTACCTAAGAAGTGAACATCATATTGACTTTCTAATTCCTACTCCTGTACATCTGAAATGAAAAAATATAAATGGATACAGTAATTTTTTAATGTTCTTTTTAATCATTTCAAGAGTTTTGAATTTGCAGAGAGTTTTAGCAAATTTTACTGGTCTTGCTTACGTCAACTACTTGAGACATAAAATGCAAGTTTGCAGTAGATTTTAAATAAAGAGGTGTTTTGGTAAAAAATATTATTGTTTTGTCTCTGAGTCTCACAACTACGTGCATGCATATTGAGCATCACATAAGTTTTATTTTATGTTGCTGTTGAAATTGGAAGTGGTTGCATCAAAGAACAAGAGTCTGAAAATGCAGCTTAATGTATGTAAGAAAATTTTCATGATTGTTGAATGTGTTTTGAACAAGAAGAGTATTATGATTCTTAATTGCGTATCAAACACCCCAGATATTCCAAGTAACAATGCGTTTATCATAATGTTATAGAGGAAAATGGCATTGTTGATGGAATTTTTCTGGGAGTCTAGCTCAGGAGAGAATATTCTAAGCTCCTCCATTAACTTTGAAAGAATAATTGGAGCTTGAATAGTTGTTTAAGAAACTCCGTTACTAACATATACGTTATGCAGGGCTTGTCAAACAGGAGGACAGGTTCAACTAGTATCAATGCAGAGAGTTCCCGCTCACATACTGTATTTACCTGTGTGGTTGAATCTCAATACACGGTAATAACCGACTAGAGGACCTATGTACTGAATAGTTGCCCAATGAATGTTCATTATGATTTACTTATTTTCACAGTTGAAATTTATGTGTATTCAATTTGTTTTCTCAAACTTATGTGTCGAGTGATTAAATTGAACCATCACTTTTGTAGAATGTGGCAAATGGTATAAGCAGCTTTAAAACCAGTAGAATAAATCTTGTTGATCTAGCTGGGTCAGAGCGTCAGAAGTTAACAGGTGCAGCAGGAGAACGCTTGAAGGAAGCAGGGAATATCAATCGATCACTCTCACAGCTTGGGTACGGTTTATCTATCTGCTCTCATATTTAATTTTCCATTTAAAGGTGCATTTCAAGCTTGCGAAAATTTCTAAACAACATTGCTGTTATTTATTGTTTGATTGGAACACAGTAGCTAATTACAGATTAGAGTGATTTGTAAAACAGCAGTATCAGTTTATTATAAGTAATGGCTCAAGGTTAATAGCATGTTTGAATTCTTAATCCAAATTTTGAGTTAACATGCTTGGAAACTAGCTCTGCCGAGCCGTGCTTCACCTAACCAGAGTGTCGCTTTATAAATTTAGGGTTTAGGGTTTAGTGTCGCTTTATAAATTTAGCCATGCATTTCAAGCTTGCGAAAATTCTGAACAACATTGTTATTATTTATTGTTTGATTGGAACACAGTAGCTAATTACAGATTAGAGTGATTTTTAAAACAGCAGTATCAGTTTATTATAACTTATAAGAGCATCCACAGTGGGGGGGTGTATTTTTGGGGGTGTAAAGCCACTTTTACATCCCCTTTACACCTCCGGGGGGTGTAAATACGTTTTTTGCTCCAATGGGAAACGATGTAAATCTAAAGATGTATAATTGATTTGATTGTCTTAATTCGTTTTTGTGCTAAATTTGTATTTTGTGTTTACTTTAGCAAATTAATTTTTTTTGTATTAGGTTAATTTTATTTTTTCAAACAAATAGACCTAAAAATATTTAAATTCGGAGAAGATATGATTTCATCCAAAAATTCCCAAAATTGCTCCGCATGTGAATTTTTTTCCAGCGATTACTGTAGCAACGGGTCCCACTCTTTTATGATGACTTTTCTCCACTTTTCCTCTTCTTTTCTCGGGTGGGTCCCACGTGCAAGAGATGTAAAAATAGATGTAAATATACATTTTATTTTACATCCCCATGGTGGTGATGTATATTTACATCCATTTACATCTCCCCATTGGAGACGATTCCGGTGACTCGGGGTGTATATTTAACATACACCCCCATATACACCCCCCCACTGTGGATGCTCTAAGTAGATGGCTCAAGGATAATAGCATGTTTGAATTCTTAATCCAAATTTTGAGTTAACACGCTTGGAAACAAGCTGTGCTGAGCCTTGCTTCACCTAACCAGAGTGTCGCTTTATAAATTTACACAAGCTTAAGTTTGCTGTTTAGTTGAACTTGTGCCTTAGTTGAACTTCAGGACTAAAAACTAAAAAACCAAATTTCTTCCTTGAACTTAAGAAAAATTAAATATGAAAGAAAACTATGATTTTTATTTGCATTCATATGACTTTTTGAGTGATCTGGTGGAAGTTACGTCCTCTCTCTATCTCTCTCCTCAGATTTAAAGTTTTATTATGTTCATGTCAATGTTGACATGTTCAAGACATTTTTTTAGATTTGTGCTAATTGCAGCTGATTATCTGAGTGCAGGAACCTGATAAACATTCTTGCTGAAATTTCTCAAACGGGAAAGCAAAGGCATATCCCCTATAGAGATTCCAGGCTGACATTCTTATTACAAGAGTCTCTTGGGGGAAATGCAAAATTAGCGATGGTCTGTGCTATTTCTCCAACGCAAAGGTAGTACTGTAACCCCTTTCTTCCTTCAAAGTAGCATTTAACATTTTTTACGTTCTTTTGTGAACTGGAAGTTCACTTAATTTAACCTTGCAGCTGCAAGAGTGAGACTTTCAGTACATTGAGGTTTGCACAGCGTGCTAAGGCTATCAAGAACAAGGCAGTTGTTAATGAAGTAATGCAGGAAGATGTGAACCACCTGCGTGAGGTGATACGGCAGCTAAGGGTATGTTCTCTTTCACTGTACTCTGGAATATTGTGATCCATAAATCTACAAATTAAACATGTGAATCATTCCTATGAGCTTGTAAATTTAACAGGATGAACTACAACGGATTAAGGCAAATGGAAACAATCCAGTTGCTTCTAATGGAGGTCACAGTGCAGCATGGTTTCGTCAGAGTTTGAATTTACTAAAGGCTAGCCTTAAACCACAAATGACATTACCTCGTGTCGATGATGACAGCGATGAAGAGATGGAGATTGATGAGGAAGCTGTTGAGAGGCTTTGTGTTGAAGTAAGTAACCAGACAGTTAGTGAAGCTAACAACAGAGCTGATGCGAACACTGTAGAAACAATGGAATTACATTCACAACCTGTGGCTGTTGAAATTGGAAGCTCCGATGGCCCTCAAGACTATACGTCTGGAAGTGGTTGTAACAAAGAACAAGGTTGTGATACAGATGTTAATATGGAAGAAGGAATATCTGAACAAGAAGGGGACATGATTGTTGAATGTGTTGCCGACACCCCAGTTATTCCCTGTGCTAATGCATCGGATCTTCATAATCTTATAGAATATACCTCTGTGCAGCCTGCTCAGGAAGAAAATATTCTAAAATCCTCCATCAGTAGTTTGCTAAATGAAGAATCAGCGAACAAAAGAGGGCATGAAGCTTCTTCATGTCCAGCCTCTGATCCTCCTGGAGGAGTGTCTGGCTGCCTTTCAGTTGCAGATGATGCATTGGTTCTCCAAATGGCTTAGTTAATTGTGTTTCTCCATGCCTGAGCATAGTTCCATGCGATGTATCCCCAGTCCTAAAGTCTCCTACCCCCAGTGTTTCACCCAGGGTCAACACCAGCAGGAAAAGTTTGAGGACCTCATCAATGCTGACTGCTTCTCAGAAGGATCTTACTGGTGGAAGTACATTAAGTCCAGAGGCCATGCACGTATCTTTGGCAAAACCTGCAATAAATAGCTCATCGGATGACGTATCTGCTCAAACATGTAAGAAATTTTCGGCACCAGCTGAACAGTTGGCAGCAAGCATTCGCAATGGCCTTGAAATTATTGGTAGTCACCGCCATAGTTCAGCTTTGAGGAGGTCGTCATTCAGGTTTTCATTGAAACCTTCTGAGTCTAGGCTGATTTTGCCAGTTTCTAAAGCTGATGCGGGTGTGCAAACCAGTCATGAAATAGTTGAAGAAGGTTCAGTGGAATTTATGTGTAATAATTGCAAGAACAGAATGCAGCTAGAGGTCAAGGAGGTCAATGAAATTTCAGATCTGCAATTAGTACCTGTTGATGGGTCAGAGGCTGCTGACAAATCCAAGATACAAGTTCCCAAAGTAAGTTCAGGAGAGAGTAGCTGAATTTTTAAGTTATTGTTTCCAAACTTTCTGTATTCGTGTGCAACAGCCACTTGACTTTTCCCCTGTTTACTCAACAGGCTGTGGAGAAGGTTTTAGCAGGAGCTATTAGGAGAGAAATGGCATTAGAAGACATATGTGCCAAGAAAACTTCTGAGATAATGCAGCTCAACCGTTTGGTAGGTTTCTCTAAATTCTGTGACAGCCATCCATAGCCATTATTTTCGTCTACTACTAGCGTGACATATTTTAGCTGTGATTTACAGGTGCAGCAGTACAAGCATGAGAGAGAATGCAATGCCATTATAGCCCAGACAAGGGAGGATAAAATTCTACGCCTTGAGAGCCTTATGGATGGTGTTTTACCCACTGAGGAGTTCATGGAGGAAGAGCTAGTGTCTCTCACACACGAGTATAAGGTATAAATCTTTCTTTGGAGGCTCCTTTGTTGTCTTTTTTTTTGTCAGATCCTTTTTGTGTTCCTTGTGCTTTTTTTTGTTGGTCTTATTGTGTTCTTTATGCTTATGCTTACCCATCGCATACAGCTTTTGAAGGAAAAATACGAGAATCACCCAGAACTTTTGAGGACAAAGATTGAATTGAAAAGAGTTCAAGATGAGCTGGACAATTTACGAAGTTTCTGTGATATGGGTGAAAGGGAAGTGTTGTTGGAAGAGATTCAAGACTTGAGAAGCCAGCTACAGTATTATGTGGACTGTTCATCCACATCAGCCCGGACACGGAAGTCTATGCTGCAGCTGACCTATTCACGTGACCCCAATGTGGCTCCTCTTAGTACGATTCCAGAGTCAACTGAGGAAAGTGCTGAACAGAAACTTGAACAAGAGAGAAAACGGTGGACTGAGGTAGAGAGTAACTGGATTTCCTTGGCTGAAGAGTTGAAAATTGAACTTGAGGCCAGCAGATCACTGGCTGAAAAGACAATGCAAGAATTAGAAACTGAGAAGAAATGTGCAGAAGAGCTCAAGGAAGCAATGCAACTTGCGATGGAGGGGCAATCACGGATGTTGGAGCAGTATGCAGATTTGGAAGAGAAACATATGCAACTACTTGCAAGGCATAGAACAATACGGGATGGAGTGGAGGATGTGAAGAAAGCAGCTTCTAAGGCAGGAGTCAGGGGTGCTGAGTCTAAGTTCATAAATGCTCTTGCAGCAGAAATTTCAGCATTGAGAGTAGAAAGAGAAAGAGAGAGGAGATATCTTAGGGATGAAAATAAGGGGCTTCAGGCACAATTGCGGGATACTGCTGAAGCTGTGCAGGCTGCGGGGGAGTTACTTGTGCGACTCAAAGAAGCAGATGAGGCTGTTGCTACTGCTCAGGTATGTTAAAATGTGGTTTTCTGTTATGATTCCTTGTCATTTTACTTGGTTGAGATTCTTATTTTCAAGGTTGTTGTGACTTCTTTTTCTTCGTAAAACTATGTTCATAATCAGATAAGTTGTTTCTATTTTTGTCCCTTTTTCTTTTGCATTGAAGTTCTGAAGTTTCATCGCAAAATAATTTTCTGAGTTTCTTTACACAAGATTATACAAAAAGGGAATACTCTGTGCTCCTCTTTAATATTCAGAAAAGCCTTTGATAATGAGCTTAAAATACTCAGATAAACCAACTTAACTAACTACAACTTTCGCTTTTGACTGGCAACCAACCTAATTTCAAAAGACTAAATGTTGTTACAGCCTGAAAGTAGGGTAACTGTGACAGACCTGCAGTCCAATTTAACCAGGGCCCTAAATATTGCACTTTAAGTTAAACACTGGCAACGAGAGGAATAACCTGAATTATGTTGAACCATTCTTCCTAGGTCAATCCCTGTGAGCATGTTGAGCTGAGATATTGCATTTTGACTGAAAATTTGAAAGTTTGAATCATTTAGATACACTCTGTTCTTGTAAACTCTTAATCCTATTTGCTCCATTTATAGTCTTTTCATACATGCTTAACATAGGACTTATTTGAAATTTAATAACGTGCAGAAGCAAGCTATGGAGGCCAAGCAAGAAGCAGACAAGGCTTACGTGAAGATTGAAAAACTGAAGAAAAAACATGAGAAGGAGATTAGCAGTCTCAATGAGCTCCTTGCCCAGTCTAGTTTACCCAAAGAAGCAATCCGACCTGCTATCGATGATGGTTCTCATATGCCAAATACGATGTGGGCGAGCCCCATAGTTTAAGTGATCAACGATGGAAAGAGGAATTTGAACCATTCTACAATGGGGAAGATGGCGAGTTACGAAAACTCACAGAACCCTCATCATGGTTCTCCGGTTACGACCGGTGCAACATATAGAAAGCGAATTTAGAATGGCTACATAGTGTATAATAGACTACTAAGTGTGTGTCCAATAGCTCCATTGTATGCAGGTCATCTGGTTGGTCACCAGTTTGACCATTGCCATTATATTTTTTTTCAAGTGCATTTTGTATTCTTCTATATCAGATTCTTTCATAAGAGATGAGTGAATGGTTGTATTCTTTTATTCATATTCCCCCCTGTTTGCAAGCATCTAAATGGGCTCACTTTTATATCAAGTTATGGTCTGGTCTATTCTCATGCCCAGTCTTCCTTCCTAGCAACCCAAACCAAACACAAAACATATGCTTTACAAAATCTCTTCATTCCTTTTGGTTCACAGATATACCAAAATGTGGGTGTGCACAACAACTGCCATATTGGAATTAAATGGCAGACTGAGAAAGTTTTGGATATACTGGATGTGGTGGGCCCCATTCTGAATAGACAATATACACTTGCTACATACATGGATAGCTACAGTATGTATAGATCCAATTAAAGATAGGTGCATTTACAAGATTTTAAGATCATTTATATTTGTTTGGTGTGTATGTGTCAAGAGGGGAGGGGGCAATGTTCAAGTGGATGAAAGAAGTATGTCCATGCCCTGTGTTAAATAGGAGGCATAAAACAGACAGTCCACAGGTACTCTTCACATTGGAAGCCTGCTTATGTGGGAGAGTGGTCTAAGCTTGTCATGGAGACCACAAAACAAGAGGTTTGTTGTTGCTTTGTCTTTCTCTGACATGAATCTCTATCCTTACCAGTGGACCATTCAAATTCCAGAGGTTGTTTAGTAAGGCTGGGGATGGCTGGATAACAGGTAGGCCTGCAACCCTAGCAAAACCCAACTGGAAAGAAGTGTACATCTTCTTCACCTCTTCTATTTTCAATTATTAATTTTTTTTTTTAATACAAGCGACATTGAAAAGGGGAATCGAACCTAGTATCTGGAATGCAAGAATAAATGCTCGGAACCACTTGAACTACAAACGCGTTTACTTTCAATTTTTATATTGGTATGTAGGTTTTTTTTTCAACGACAATTTGGTTGAATGGCAGTCGGTCTTTACTTTAACAAAATGGAGGTTTATATTTTAGTCAAATAATTTGTACTCAGAGTAAGATTATTAAATATTTAAAGTCATGAAGAAAAAAACATACACACATGGACAATTTCCAACCGTTTTATACAGGGAAGCAAAATTGTCTGGAAATGAAAAATTCAGCAGTGGCCCACAGGAGGTAAGACAAAGTGTGGGTTTGGTCTAAAATCAAAGTCTAATCCAGCATACTTTCTTGGCTTAGCTGGATGTAACTTAATTTGGGCAGGCCCTTCAATTACTCTTCAATTTTGTAATAAAATGGAAAATGAATGGCAATAACAGACTATAATCCCAGTCAATTCCTTTCCTTGTAAGCAACAATATCTGTCCTAAATCTAATTATAAACCCAACCAACAGTCATCACCTTCAATGTTGAGTCACCCAAGCCTGATAAAGCTGTGGTGCAATTGGCATGCATGTAAAGTATACATTTGTGCCAAAGAGAGGCTTGATGATAACCTTGAATGGTCATGGTTGGTGATGTAAAATGATAGTTTCCTACTGGTTTCTGCCACTGTTATCCCCTCCCCAACCCCACATCAAAGGTCATATATACCAACCAAAGTTAAAGCTAAATGCTTCTTGAGGTGACATAAAGGGAGTTCATGATTTTAAGGAAAGAAAAAAATAATACCAACCAAGAGATAGAGACATAAAGGTAGCGATTTTTCGTGTTATAATGAAATTTTTGGGTGAAATTGTAACACTGTCAAATTGCGTTACTAATTTTCATACCACAACTATAATACGGGTGAACAACAATTTTATATTAGGTGTGATGTTAATAAATGAGAAAATTTATCTCTTGAGCAAAATATGCTAACAGCAACACGTGGCGTAAGAAAAACTTATGAATCCGTCACTCGCTAGTAAAACCGCTGCGGAAGGAAGAAAAATAGGACAGGCTGGTTGATTTGACTCTATGAGAGTGTGTGTATAACCCCACAAGACAAACATATTGCATCAGTCTTTCCTGATCCAACTCCCTACCAGAGAGGATTGAGGACCACATTTCTCACTATCACTGCAGTCAGTTACGGCTTCCCAATTGATATTTTGGGAACCAATTTGGACCGCTGGAGAATTAATTTTGTTCTCATCAATCATCACCACTTATATCTTATCAAGTCCCCAAATCATAAATTAATCAAACCTAAACTCATCTTTAATTAAAAATAAATAAATAAATAATTTGGACAAAAAAATAAGACACGAGTGTTGATGGGGATTAAATTTGGTCACTAGGAAGGAATGGCAATGAGCTGAGATGTGGGGGTGGGCTTGTCATTCTCATGTCCCTTTCTCCAAACGGGGCCCAACCAGGAGGCAAGTCCTATATGATTTTTCTTTTTTATAATCATACGTGGCAATGCCTTCATAAATATATAATATAGTACCTTTATACCCAAAGTAATTAATACAGTACCTTTATAATATAGTACCAAATTAAACCTTACGTTATTCAAAGTAATTAATTAAACTTTATTTTCTACCCACCCGCTTTTTCTGTTTCACGTTTACATGCATTGCATGCGGCATGCTTTTATAAAGCAAAATGAGTTAAACGATACATAATTAGGAAAATAACCAAAGCGTTTTCCCCATTCTAAGGCCTAGGAAGGAACTAGGCAATTCTACGCTTAGGGCGATAACTTTTTACACGACTTAAAATTTAAAAGAAATAATTAGGTTAAGGTTAATTAAACTTGACACGAGTAGCACTATCGATACCATGTCAAATTTCAGAGAGACGGGTTAGCGGCTCACTACTAGCTAGCAACACTGATATTGTCCCCAACTTAACCACCTACAAAGCCTAGTAGATGTGATGTTTTATCACAAAAAGCATCGGTGTTATTAGAAGTGGAATCACTTATCATAAATTGTAATTTATTTAGTTAAGTTTCCAATGTGGGACTTTCTATTCTTCAACAGTAAGAAACCATACAAATGAAAAATAGCTCAAGTTAGTGTGAAGTCATTTAATATAATTGATCAGATAATGTTGATCATCTTTAATTAGGGCTTGACACGTCTTTGACAACAAAAACAAAACAAAACAAAACAAAGGCTTGACACGAACCGAAAACAACACAATCCAGACACTTACACCACGGGCTTGCCACTCCTGTCTATGCATACAAAACAAATATTATTAAATAGATGTGTATGAACAGTTGAGAGAGAAGAGAAATTGAAAATGCAATCCCAATCACCGACTCTTTTAATTCATTTTCTTAATATAATTTAAGATAATTTATGATATTGTAGATGGCAATATTAAAGGAGTGTGATTTGTTAAAATGTGGACGTAACCCCAACTCTTACCTGGACAGCATGTAGGCGAATTGTGTCTCATCACTCATGTTAGTTTGTCTACTAATGACCAAGACTGGCTAATTGAACAATTAGTTTGGATGTCATTGTCAATGTGTGTCAATGTGTCAATGTTACAATGAAAATCCAGCCAGGAACTTTGAAAATATTTTGGCAAAAGGTATGGAGGAAGTGCTAAGAATTTTTCTATTTTGGTCGAAAAGGAGGTGCTTAGATTAGATCCAAACCAAACCTTATGTATGCAATCCTCTACCGTAACAATCATAGCCTACTACTCATTAGGGGTCAACAATAAACAATTTGAAACATTCAAAGCGATGAAATGAAATAAATTTGAACAGTTTATTTCAGATTCTTCAATAACGTAGACTTTGTGTTACTAAACCAAATGGTCATTGAAAATTTGATAACATTTTTAATTTGTTTCAGATTTACATTTTTGTTAATTGGTTGCCGAAAATGATCAAGAGGTGAACAATCATTCATTATAATAACTCGATTCTACATGTCTGTCACGTTAGATCTTATATCTTGTTACAATGTTGTGAAGAAAAGTATAAATTTGGTCACATAAAAATGTTAAGATGAAGAGTTTTATTTGTTGAGCTTTACTCAAAAGCCTTTGTCACTTACATATCGATGTATTATAAAGTGATGCTTATTACACATGAAAATTATAGTTTGCGTATACTTCAAGTTAAATGAAAAACCCAACTTGCAAACTTCTAATATTATTTGGACTTACCAAGTTATGGTGTTAGTGTGTTATTTGTTTACACCAAAAGAAAATACTACAATTGATAAAAATAAAATAGAAAATGAGAAATAAAACACTACCAAAGGTAAACCATATTAATTATTAATTGATTAAAATTGAGAAAAAGTTAAAGTAACTCTGTTATTATAATTTAATTGATATGTCACCTTAAACTTGAAAATGAAAAGACTAAAATACCCTTAAAAAATGGATGGAAAATTGGATGGTGCTAAAGTCTCAAATGACATAAATTTTGAAAAATTAAGATAACATTTCTCTTAAAATTTTCTTTTAAAATGACAAATTAAAATTGAGGTATACGTTCAAATGACATTCTAACCATTATTCCCATTATTATTGTTTGCTCAGTTTACTTATTAGGGATATATTGGCTAGATTTACTAGAAAAAGGTGTATTGCAGATTTCTTTTTTGATGTGTTTGGAGATTGGATTTTCCAGACAGGCTTTGATGGAAAGTTCTTTTTATCTTCAAGGGTATCAATCGACGTCTGAAGTCCTCTTCTTTATTCTTCCACTTATCCATTTTGATTTTCTTTTCATAATTTTCTAAAGGAGTTGGGATTGTAAAAGTGCTCTGATTCCTCAGCCAAGTCAGAAGTTCACTGCTGCCAACCTGGGCCACTCATGCTCTTTTCTTTTGGATGCTAATTTCAAAACAAAATACAATCAGCATTAAGCAAATAAAAACATTAACATTCATTAATAATTAAATAAGTAAAAGTTGTTGTTTTCGTTCGTTTTCCGTGCAATAAATTCCAAGGTTCATAAAGGACTTGATTTTCTTGATACGTATATGATCTTAACACGATACGAACTCAAAATAATACGACTCATTGCTAGTCCTAATCATTAATATACAAGACAAGGTCATTTTCTATTGGACTAAACTCCGTTGCATTCTTTTTTATTTTTGAAGTACTAAGTTAGAAATTTTAAGACACAAATAATTAATTCTTAATCATGAGTTGGACTTAAGACACCACCATTTGTCCCTACTTAACAGCTGGTTCCCAGTAAGAATCTGTTAAGCCACAAGTTACGCGATTTAACATAAGATTATATATCATTCAGATGATTGAGGGTCCACCATAAAATCCTTTCCAGCACACATTTGAAAGCAACTGAGAGATGTCTTTCTCATTAAACTATTCATGTTTGGTTGCTGAGAAGATGGCTAGGGGCAAAAGCAAGACAGAGATTAGGCATTGCATGATACTTTTGGTGGTTGAAATGGTGGTTATAGCCAGGCCCCAGCCTTTTTTTTTTTTTTTATATTTCTATTTTTTATTTTTTTTCCCACACCAATCTGAGAGGCAGAAGATTTTCAACAAAAGATTACAACAATAAAGACTCATGGAATTTTTTTAAAAAAAGTTGGAAAAAAAAAAGATGAACAATGGAACATTATAAAGAGTCTCACTGAATCTCAGTAATAACATTATCAAATGGTAAGTAGATACAAGGTTGGATCAAAACTGAAGTTTACATAAACAACTCTCTTTCTTTCAAGTTTTTATCCCCCCAACACTCATCTTAATTACCATGCTACATATATATCTTAAATGTGGTCTTATAGAATTGCTGCAATTAGTTCTAGGATATACATTAATGTGGAATTCTTGAAAGAATTCTCCAAAGAATGAGTTGCTGAATCAATGTGCCGATGCGAGAGACTAAAACTGGAAAAGAGAAGCTGTTATTTTCCTCCAGGCTAAAGATCCACTCAAACTGGAATTTCTCTGTATATACAGTTAATTCTGCTGATTATAGCTCAACTTTCATCTGGGCTGAAGCCATTGAACCTGCACATGACAGAAAATGGATTAGACACCGAAACCAACAAGCTAGCTAGAAGATTGAGAATTGCTACTGGTTATTAGTTTATAAAATTTTACTACTTACCATGAAGGCTCTCCTGCTGAATCTGGCCAAATCCCATCTGAACCACACTTTGAAGGTCATCCTCAAAGAATTGTGGAGCCTGGAAAGTAAATTTACAGTAAGCCTTGAGCATATAAGCAAGCAAGACTATTTCAAGTGAAATTATTGAGCCAAGTTTTGTTTAATTACTTGAGGTGCTGCTCCACCAAATCTATCAAATGTAGGTAACTGCATGCCTTGACTTTGACGCATTGCAGCATTTAGAGGGCTCTCTGGAAATTGTGTCTCTGTCCCACTAGAGATGCTGCTGCTATGCAAAGGTGGCAGTTGCTGCGGCTGGTACCCGAAAGGGAATGAAGGTATTGCAGAATCTAATTGGTAAAGGGCATTTTGCAAAGACCCACGAGATTGAAGAATCTGAATTATGCATTGGAATGGACAAAGCTAAAGTTAGTTTTATGGAAAATGCATAAGGATTAAAGAATGAATCAGTTGATAAAGTAGTTGAAAGTTCTGACTTACCTCCTTTGACAGAAGAGCCTCCATGTTCAAATCCATTCTGGGATTTACAGTTGACAACTTCATTGAAAGAAACTGAGCCAACAAAAATTCAACCAATACGGCAATTCAGCAAGAAAGCTAGGTGTTTCAATCACAATATGAATGGTTGACTATGTGAATTTACCTCAACTTGGCGCTGCAATGACTGCACATAATTTATAATTTCATCTAGCATCACTGCTTTTCCAGTTACCTGAAAATATTGAATAAAATCCAATTTAGTTCTATTTCTCATTGTTTTTCTATCAATTTCAGAACAAGCAACTCAAATTTACATCTTTAAGGTACCTTGTTGCAACCAGGAACAAGATCTTGAAGAAATTTCATCCTTTCGCTAATTTTCTCTCTTCGAACCTGACCATAAAATAAAGATAAACATGATATAGCAATCAAATCTAAAAGCAAGGCCAAAAAAGAAACAGACTACACAACACTGCACTGAACATACTCTTTCTGCAAGACTATGGCTATCAGTAGCTTGACCCCTTCTGGCTCTGACATGGATATAGTCCTTTGGAGCCTCAGGAGGCTCTGAATTATCCTTTGTTTGCTTCTGAGCCCCATCCCCTGTAGCTTTGGAACCTCCACTGGGCTCTGTCTTTGCCTTTGCAGCTGCCTTTTCATTCCCAGAAGCTTCATCTGTTTTGCTTCTCTTGGAATTTGGTTCCTCTTTTTCTGCCACAACCTGTAGTAGAATCACTCATTGGTTTTAGTTCTCAACAGAAATTGAAAACAAATAATTGGATTTAAATTGGACAATTGTTGACAGAATTAAACTACCTTGCCATCTTTAACAGAGGGAGATGAAGAGGTTTCTTTGGCTTTTCCTCTTGCAACAGGTTTCCTTTTCCTGGAATTGGTCACATTTTCTGCTTTCACACTCGTATCCCCACCTGGGATCTGCTCAGAAACTGATGATCCTTCCCTTGAATCACCCAATTCAGCATTTTCTGGGGTGGAGGACCTCGAAAACCTGCCGAATTTCTTTTCAGGAGCTGGATTCCCACCCTGGGGAGAGCTTTTGTTGCTTTCTTGAACAGCCAATTGAGATCCAGCAGCAACTTTAAGTGATTGGTTGCTGGAAGCTCTGGAAAGCTTGCCAGAATCAATTTTTGGCATTGATCTATAAGCCAATTCAGCTTCATTCAAGTTGACCTGCCCATTGAGGCCACCAAAATTGCCACCACCAAAGCAGGAAAACCTTGCAGCCCTCTCAACAAATCCAGGGTCAGCTTGAAAAGGTGCCAAACTTGGATGTGAAGGTAAATGATTTCCAGGAATTGGCAAATTGCCTCTCATCTGTGGATCAATCATTGACAGGTTCAGCTTAGGTGAAGAGTTCAATGGGGTGCTATAACATGAAGTGTTAGTGCTGTTATTGCCACAAATGTAAGAGTGTGAAGATATTTCTCCTGAATTGCAAATGCTTCCTAATCTTCCAATTAGTTCTCTAATCATTTCTCCATCTCCGCCGCCTTTTCCGGCAGCTATGGCGGCGTTGGACGCCGCCGGAGAAGAAACAATGGAGCTCAAGGCAGACTCAAAGGGATCGCTCTGATCCATCGAATTGTCCCAATTGGCATTAAAAAGAGAATTGGGGAGCTGCTGTGAGCCACAATTGAGCTCATTGGACTGCATTTCCATGCCAAAACCTGAAGGGTTCCAAGAGGGTGTGGCTGTTCTGTCCTTTCCCATGACTTTTAATGAGGAATATGGAGTTCAATCCAAGAAAAGGTGAAGATCCAGAAGAAAGTAAGGAATAAGAAAGAAAACCCAGAAATTTTCTTGGGAAAATCTTTTGCTTTGAGTAGATATAAGAAAGCAGAGGTGGGAATTCAGGCTTTTGGTGTCAAAAGGACATGTAATGATGAAGATGATATGGTCCTTGTATGTCACTCAAATATGGAAGGAAAAGGAAAGAAAAGCTTAAAAAGAAGGTGAGGAGTGAGTGAAGAGAGAGCAAAGAGAGAGAGAGAGAGAGAGAGAGAAATGGGGAAAGTAGAGAGGAAGCAAGACACATAAAAGAAAGGAAATTTATGTTGACCTTTCCATAAAGTAATAAAATAATGATATATTTATAAAGCATTATTAGTTTTTAAGGTCATAATTAACAATTTTTTAAAAAGACATTATTATTATTATTTCCAGAGTACATATATAATACTTGTGAGAGGAAATTATGCCAATTTTGATTTTTAAAAAATATGTAAGTTTTGAATCTACAAAAATAAAAATAAAAAAAATCATTTGATTTATAAAATTGTTTTTTATTGTTTAAAATAAAAGAAGATTCCACATAACAAAATAAAAAATGTACAATAAAAGAACCGACTTTTCTTAGCACAGTCGTGCATGTAGTGGATTAAAGCCAAAATGAAGTTTCTATATAAACTGCGTGATATAAGTGAGTGGGAATACATATGGGCCTTAAACGTCAAAGTGGCTGGTCATCTCCTCTACTTTTTAAAACATTTTTATTTATTTATATTTTTTACAAACCATATAATATTTGCAAGGTTTTTTTATACAATGGACCCAATTACCGACAACAAAACTACATTTCTAGGCTAGTCACAAGTAGATATCAAATTCATCACAAACATAGATCGTCTTCAGCATTTATGTGAGTCGAACATGAAACCTTCTCCAACTAAGTAAAGACAAATACCATAGAGTAAATGCTAGTTGGCAAACAGTTTTAATAAATAAGTATCTTTATAATATGCAAGATAAACAAAATTTAAGCATAATATTTATCTTTATAATATAAAATAGATATTTACTAAACAAATGTCTCAGTCTGTCACTGTTTGTTGTTGCTAATCATCAATGATTAATGCGCATGAGAGAGAGAGAGAGAGAGAGAGAGAGAGAGTTGTTTAACCTTTTCAACAAGATTCATAGTTAAAAGACTAAAGTCATGTAAGGTCACTATTTCACTTTTTTTTTTACCTTGAGTTGCTAATGAGAGCTGGGACCTCTCTGGGTTTGTGCGTGTAGACTCGTAGTGGGTGATATGTGCAGACAGATCAAGAAAAATAATTATTTTTTTATTTTTAACTTTTTTCTTTCCTTGTCTCTACGCTTGTTACTTTTTTATTTTCTGTTCTTTTTCTCTTCGGTGGAATATTTTTCCAACTCTGGCTTGACGATTAGTGTGTGTGGTCCCCACATTAACGAATTTATTCTCCCCACCCCCCTTTTCTTTATTTTTATTTTTTTTATTTTTATGTTTATAACTTTGAGTAAAAATCAAGGTTTCTTTGATGGAGTGGGCCAGACTAGATTCAGCCCACCAACTGCCCATCAGCCCAACAAACCAACCGATCAGAGTACTGTACCAAAAATCAGATTTTATTTCCTTTTAGTTCGGAGGTTGATGACGGGAGTGGTGGTCGAGTCTAGTAGCATGAACTTATAATTAAGCAAAACATTAATGTAATTGATTATTTTAAATCAAGCCTAGCTGGATAAATTTGTAGTGATCTTAATTACTCAGTGCTGCGAAATGACTAAAATCGTTTTTTGACAATCAAAAGTGCTTCTTTAAGAAGACACTTCCAAATTATTTAGGAAGCACTTTCAAGTACCTTAGGAAGCATTTCCAAGTGCTTTTCTATGAAGCGCATGAATTTTTAGAAAAAAAAATACTCCATGTTTTTCTAATAAAAACACTTATGAGCAATAGTGTTTTCTATAAAAGCAGTCTCAAACATGCCGGTCCGGAGGTAATTAAATTCTCTACAATTAAAATTACAAACCTTAACATGATTACAATTTTCTTAATAATCACATAAACAAAATAACGTTAAGACGCACATAGTCAATCCTTTTATCCAATACAAATTGTGAAGTAAGTAATCTTACTACCTAATCCTTACCAAAATGTCCACCTAGAAATCGCTTTGAAGCCGTATCTAGTTTTTGACTCACAAAATAAAGCGTGGTAATAGGTTTGCCAAAGAATTTTCCCAAAAACACAATCCTATCTAAAATCATCTAATATATCTGAAAGAACACATATCATTGAGATGAATACTAGTTTCGCACATAACTAATGCATCCTTCTAGTTCATAAAAAATTATGTGAATTTTCGCACATTTTCAACGAATAGGAATTTTTAGATTTAGATCCCGGAATATATATTAGAAAACAGTCTAATGCCTTTTTAAATGTAGTTCTATAGAAAAAAAATAAGAAGAAGAAGACGAAGAAGAAGGTAGTTCATGTAGAAAAGTCAAACACAAACAGTTATATAAATTAAATATAAAAAAAACTATATGGCGTTTTCATATCTGTCCCTTTTTTATATCTACCAAATGCAAATGAAGATCGGTTTTGTGACGTCTAGTTTATATTTTGTTGAAGAGGATCCTGATTTCAAATCTCATGAATATCGAGTGTTGAAAAAAACAAGCACAATTCATAATGATGGCGGAATTTTGTATTTTAGGAAAAGAAACATAATTTATATAACTATCCCGCTTTCGAGTACAACAAAATTCATTTTTTGCATATCACAATCATGCATATATATGTCTCACAAAATATATTATCTGATGTGAAGTTAGAATGATCATTTGTTCACATCATGATAATGCATTATCATTATCTAAGAGTTATATTATCCTGACTCAGCTTTTTAGATCCTGATAATATATTTGTCACACTTATACATTACTATAACTTGATTTTCTATTAATTATTAGTCATGATCAATCTTGTTTGATAGATCTCAGAGAGACGTTGCTTAATAATTTCCATTTGATTTAAACATATAATCACATGCATTATTAAAGGTGTTATTTCTTAGTCAACCAACTCAAGCACCCCAAATCCAAAACGATACAGTTGTTATATATATAAAAAGAAAAAAACGATGGAAAAGAAAGAAAGAAAAAAAACCCTTCTTCTGTTCAACTTGTAGTGGTTAAAAAAACATGCATGCAATCGATTTCACTGCCGTCTCTGACCTTTGAGCCACACATCCCTGCCGCCCACCGCTCTCTCTCTGTCTCTCTCTGTCTGTGTTTCTGTGTGTGTGTGTATACCGTGTTTTGTTTCTAAATTTTCAAACTTGGAAATAAGATGCCTCTGCAGTGTGTCGGCAATATATATATAAATTCATGCAAAGCCTTCTGTTTGATCTAACGTGACCTTCAATCATTGATGCACACATTCATATGCATAATGCACCTCCCTCCTTCCTCAAACTGTAGTTTTATGTTCTCAGAGACGAACGTGTCGCCTTCTCATTGGCTCGAGGGCACGATGTTCAAGTTAGACTAGGGTTTGTATACTTGTGTTCAACAAATAATATAAACTAACGGTTAGCTAGCAGTTGTTCTAGGTCTTGTGAGATTTGTTTATTAGTTACGCTGTTGTTCTTGTAATTCAAAGTCTCACCAAGGATACAAGTGAGCCTTCCAATCAAAGCTTTGAAGGAATCAAGATATTGCAAGGGGGGTTTAATCATTAAGCTTGGCTCTTTCATTATAATATCCCTCGTGAACTTTTTATTTTTTTATGTTCTCTAGCATTTCGTGTGAGATTTTTTGCATTATTTTTATGGCATTTTTCTTTTTGTTTTTGCATTGGATGGTTTGTTTTTCTTGGAAGAGGGGTCATCTATATTGGTTTTCAAGGAAGTTAGTTCATCCATTTGTCGGCACAAGATGTTTACAGAATATTAGTTAACTAGCAGCAGTAGGTTTACTTTGGAGTGTCAAATTGGTGTTATTAAGTTACAAAAAATAAAGAAAAAAAAATAAAGAAGAGTTATTGAAAGGACTTAAAAGCCCCAAAATCCCCAAAAGATGAAGTAAATATATATTTTTTAATAGAGAAAAGATGAAGTAATTTTAAAAACATAAAAACAAAAGTGCAAAACCCTTTTTGAAAAAAAAACACAAAAAACAAAACATGCAGAGATTGGTATTGGCTTCCATCCTATGCCTGCCACGATGAGGGTTGCATCGCCCTCTTCATCTCTCTTTTTCAATCTAAGAGGGACATGACATGATAATTGAGTGTCCAAAGATTAGTTTAAGGTGTCCGTTACAGCAATTCCACTTATTGGGTTTATCATGGCAAAAAGGAGTCTGGGCTGAAAAACAAATATAGCCCGAGCAAGAGTGGATCCCATCAAAATCGGGCGAGCCCAAAAACAAGACCAGCCCATGCTGCTGTCAAAAGGTGCTGATGTCATCCTAACGTCAGCAAAGAAGATATTTTTCTTTTACCATTGGCTCATGCCCCACATGTAAGGCTTGTGCGCGTCCCCCCAATCGAAAAACGTCCAACGGTCGACTGCAACAATCTCTAAAGGAAATTATGAAATAATACCAAGAAATTTAGAATTTTATTTATTTATGAATACCTAGCAATGTGCTTCACTTTCCACACAAAAACTTCATACAAATTCCTCTATGCATATCATATCTTTATTTTCTACTTTCTTAATCCATTTGTATAAAAATACAAATGGTCTCTTTTGTCAAAGCCGGAGCCGCATGGACAACTGTGGAAGATGTTTTGTTGTGTGAGTGTTAGGTCCAAGTTGGTCATTTCCCGGTCACGGGCAATGAGATGAAGCATTCTCATATGTGAAGGAAAATTCATGGAGAATTTTGCACTCGATTGGGTTTGCCTCATACAAAAATAGCATTGGCTAGTAGGTAGAAAATTTTGAATAAAGAGTTAGGGAAATGAAGAGATGCGTTGGCAAAAGCAAGGGATAACGGTCGAAGTGGGGAAAATCTTGGCAACAAGGTAAAAAATTTGTAATTGGCGTTTTATTAAATTTAATGTCATATTGTTTGATATTTTCTTGCATTTCCAATATTGATATATATATATATATATATATATATATTAGATTATTCAAGCACAAATGTGGTTTGGTGTTGCTGAAAATAATGCACATTTGTGCTTAAAAATTCAAGAAGAATCTAGAGAATTCAAGAGGAAGACTTCACCGACTATGCAAAGTCAGCAAGCTCAATGTTGCATGACATAATTATTGTAAAAGACTAGAAATATCCTAGCAACTATCGTAAATAGCTAGAAAAGTCTAGATAAATAAAATATGTGGCTAGGAGAGATTGTCCAAGTCGGTGGGACTTGGGCAATGGCGGCAACACCTAGCTTAAATAGGCATGCATGTATTGAACTAATGTGGAGCAAACAAGCTTCCCAAACTAAGAGAAAAAGAAGGCCAATAAGCCTATAAGCAAGGAAGGAGGCCAATAAACCTAAACACTAAATATTTCTAGCCGAAGAAGGCCAATAAGCCTAGTTGTCTATCACACTTTGTTTTGGAGCCAATAAGCTCACCAATAGCCATGTAAAGGCCAAATAGCCTCGAGTTCTATGTACACAAGACCTATGTACTATTCTCCTCAAATGTAATAAAATCACTTTGTTTCAACTATTGTTCCTACTTTCCTATACCTCTTCACCACATAAACCAACAACGGTATGGCAAACACTCACACACCTCCTAAAAATATAACATGTGCTATTGGCCAAAGCAAAAAATCTTTCAACAATCACAAATGTTGGAAGCTTGAGAGGAATTTTATGAGATCCAAAATTATCCCCACGGGTTTGAGTGTTGCGTTGAACGAGACGCTGCTCCACGATTCACGAGCATCGAATCGCCATTGAACTCCTCGTGTCAATGTGGACTCACCGATCTAAAGGAAGCCGAGACCTATTGGGAGAAAGGTGGCAAAGGCCAAAAGAAGGAGCACTTCGAACAATGAATGTTCAAAATTCTTGGAACAAATTGCTCTTCAAGTCACAATGAGAATGGAGAGAGACATGAAAATAGATGAGGTTGACAAGGCAAGAGAAATGGAGTATGCACACAAAAAAGACATGGACAAGAAAGATAAGAAAACCATGGTCATGATTACGAACCATATTTCCCATGAAACAAATGCATTTTGGAAGCAAGAATGAAAGGATGTTATGAGAAGAAGGCTGTTCTGTGAAGATGGACAGCAACATGGATTGGTTAAATGACAAAACCATTAGGTTGTATTGATAGGGTTGCCCTTTCTTAATTAGTTGTAATAATTGTCTTTTATTCAATAATATAGCCATTTGTTTAAAACATTACATATATCAAAACAAAGCATTAAAAAAAAAAAAAAAAAAAAAAAAAAAAAAAAAAGAAAGATAAACAAGATATACCTTGCAATTTATTCAAAGCATTAAACTTGATTTCATTGGCCATGATTGTCTTCCAGCCCTCATAAGTGATCGATCAAGTCAACTTGATATTTTTCGTGAACATAAGAAGATTGCATTTCCATATAACGGTCAATCATACAGTTGTTGTAACGACTGTCTCTAATCAACATTTCTGTCATGCCCGAATCCACAAATTTGCATAATCTTGGATTAAGACATAATTCACACCTTAATTATAGAATTTAATAAAAACTAGAACTAAAATGCGAAGAATATTAAAATAAATAAATAAATATTTCACATAGAATTTTTTAACAGAAACAACAACATTTGAAATATTACATCTTTACATTATTTTACAAGTTAGAACCACTCAAGAGTTCATTAAAAGAGTAGCTCATTATTCACTCACAAACTATGTACATAACACACTCTATGGACATGTTAGGTTTATCTCAAATCCTAGATTTCAGGTTCAGTAACTGCAAAATTTGTAAAGGGGTGAGTGAAGCTTTAGCTCAGTTGGGACATAAATCTTTTCATGGTAAATTGATATAACTAAATTAAGTGACATGCAATCACTCAATCAAATATCATAACAATTATAAAAATGTATGAATACTCTTCATCTACTCCTGTTAATTCATATAACTGGACAAGTAGACATGCACGTCTTATACCATGCTTATACCACTTAGTTCTGAATGCCCATTTATATGAACTAATCCCGATCTCAATCATCCTATAAATCCCCTTTTTTTAGTCATCTTATCTAACTCTTTGTCTCCAGTCCTGCATCATCCAATAAAAATCATGTGCACTTTGGGATCCTTGAGATATGGTACCCGCCAAGAGTTACACTCAACTACATAAAAAATCATTTCCATTACCCTCTTTTCCATCATATTTTCCCAACACAATAACTCCAATTAATTTCCATGACATGATATAGTTATTCTTTTCACATATTTAATAAAGGGTCAGGATTGAGGAACACATAAAAAGCTACAAATTTGTACTACCTTTAGATTAAAGCAGTTTTAATGGCTAAGATTGCATTTGAAAAAAAAGTCAATACCCTAAACTACATGATTAATTTGCCTTACAAAAAACCATTCTCTCTCCTCTCTCCTCACAAATTACAACAAAAACTTTTGGTTTTATTTAATATTTCTCAAAAGAAAAAAAAAAAAAAACAAAACACTGTCAGTATTTTCGTTTGAGCTGGAAGAGTATGATGTGAAGTGAACAACCATGGATCTCTTTCTTCAAAGGATGGCCTAAGCTGATTAAGTACTGACTTAAGTTTGGTGCTGCGTCGGACTATGAAACTAAATTGTAAAAATAGTGAAGACCTATGTTTGGTGTTGTGTCGGATAATTTTTAAATAATTAAATGTAAGTTTTTTTGTTATTAGAATTACCAAATTGACATATACATTTCTTTTCCTCCAAACCAAATTGACATGTACATTTCATATATGCAAAAGTTAGAAATTCTTCATATATGCCAAAATCATCTACATTACTCAGAAATTAGAGGTTCAATTCACTATACACAATTCTACTATTAATACATACAAATAAACATCCACAATTTCAAAATGAAATTAATAAGCCCCACAACCATAAACCATCTGGCTTTAATGCTAGCAATATGTTATACAATTTGTGGTGTTTCCAAAATGAAGCCAATCTTATCAATGCATCATTTATGGTGTTTCCAAAAAAATAGAGGTATCAAATTTAGCTAGGCCATGTCCTCAAGCATTGTCACTAAGCAACTGCTCAACAAACACTTTCTTGATATCATCATCCAAATACATGAATATAGATATATTTTGTGGCTTCTCCAAAATGAATTTTAGTGCTGCAATTTGACCTAAATGGGAAAATCCCATTTTCTTGAGTTCTCTTTATTACCTTTTGTCATAGCCTCAGTCACCATTTGCATCTTTTTCCAAGGTGCTTCAAACAATTTCTCCAATATAGTCACAATCTTCTCTTCATCACTTGAGCTTGCAGCTTTTTTCCTCTTATTTTGATTGTTCATGGATTGGCTTCCTTCTTTATTTAAAGACATAGGAGATGCATCTTCCTGGACAGAATTATCATTAGCATTAACTTCATTATTGCTTTGCTCTTCCATCATGTCAACGGGGACTTCAGCTCTTTGTCCGTTAGCACGATCCTTTCCAAAGATATTAGAAAGTCTATCAAACAAAGGAAATGGTTTGCTCCTCTATTCAACTACTTCCTTGTGGTGCTATGATAAAATAAGACAACACTTGACATATTTTCAATATGTCAAAAAAAAGTAACAAAATGTTTAAAATCCACTCATCAAACCCACTTGACATCTTTATGTAAAGAAAAATAGCAAAAATAAGTAATTATGTACCTGCACATAACTCTCCCATGCATCGTTATTGTCAACCTCAACACACTACACACTTTTATATATCATTCCAAGCAAATCCACTTGTGTTTATCATGTCATAGACTATACTATATTGCTTTTTTCCACTTCTTCAATTTTGATTCAATATGAGGACATGCCTTTAGCCCCGAATTAGGACATTTCATATTCAAAGCCTTCTCCATTTGGACCATAGTACCAGATTTGAAACTATCGGTCTCACAGTGTTGGCTTGTAGCCACAAACTCATCTAGCACGGTAAAAAATGCATCTTCCTCAAACTTGGACTATGATCGCCTAGTTCCTTTATTTCCTTGTTCAAAGTTTTGACTGTTACCTTCACTTTCCATCCCTAAGAATAATCAGCACGAATAAAATAATACCACAATCAATAATTGGAATATGCAAAGAAAACATAACTTTGTTTCAAAGCATGACTCTTCTCTAGTACATCACATAACCTTAAAAACAAAAGGAAAAATAAAATTCGCAACAAATTGGTAAATTAACTACAATGCCACAATCAGTACATTGTTAAGGCTAAATTATCATGCCTCAAATACAAATTACAATCACATAAAAAATTAAACACCTTAAGAACTCAAACATAAATAACAAGAGTTGGCTAGTTATTTGCATTTCCTTGCCACTCATTATACATTTGGAAGGCCAAGTCATTCCTCCAAGTAGTCCATTCATTTGATGCTCCAACGGTGCCAACCATATCACCTTCTATCACATTTTCCGTCTCTTTAATTTCATTTATTTCATGCTCTAGTGGATCCCTAGACATCTCTCTCCTAATGAGATTATGTAAAAGACAATAAGCCATAATTATTCGACATTTTGTCTTTATTGGATAAAAAGATGGACTCCTTTGTATGCCCCACCTAGTTTTTAGCAACCCAAAACAACGTTCTATTATGTTTCTTGTCTTAGTATGCTTCATATTAAAATATTCTTGATGATTTACAAGTGTATTTTCTTCTCTCCATTTTGATAGATGATACCTTGTTCCTCTATATGGTGCAAGAAATCCCTCACCATTTGTGTACCCATCGTCTACAAGGTATAATAACCTAATAACCAAATTTTTTAAAAAAAAAGTCAATTCCTATTATTATGTGGTTATTATATAAACTTCAAATTATTTGTAAAGTGGACACTAGCTAATGGCCTTACTAGTAGGAACTTTTAATCCATTAGGCCTAGTTATGGCATCTCGAAGGACTCTAGAGTCGGATGCGGATCCCTCCCAAACCGGCAACACAAATATAAATTGCATGTCATGTGTGCAAACGGCCAACACATTTGTTGCAATTTCTCCCTTTCTAGTCTGATATCTCAATTTTTTCGGTTTTAGCTACTTGCACTTTAATGTATGTTCCATTTAGTGCTCCCAAGCAATTCTATATATAAAAAAAAAGGTGTAAACTTTCATTAAGTTTATATGTTGCACAGATCATAGAAAAGAAAGCCAAAATATAGTAAACATACCTTAAACCATTGCCATATATGATCTGTGCAGTTATCACCTACAGGTTCCGATACTCTCAATAGGCTACCTTGTAATCTTAAAATACCTTGTAACATGGAATTGAAGTACCTACTAATAGTCTCTCCTGATTGAACAAATCTATTTCTAATAGTAATTCTTAACATGATGAGCAAGCACATGCAAGAACATACATACTTGCTCCTCCACAGTTACCAAACCATCATTTTTTAGCCTTCCATCCGTGTGAAGCAAATTACATAATAAACCAAAGGTCTTTAAATCCATTCTTAGTTCACTCAAACATTCTCTGTAATTGCCTAATAAACTGTTCAAATAACGTAATCGATTCTCATGTCTAACAAACAAACAGTTATTGAGGGAATGTCTTTCTAAAAGTCTTCAATTTCTTCTCATATTTTTTTAGCATCATAAGCATAAGAATCATGCAAGCACACATGGTCTCTAAATGCCACATCTCCAACAATAATATCAACAGCATTCGTCTTTGATCCATATATATTAATAATAATAAAAAGAATTATTGCACTTAACCAATCCTACTGAATTGAAATAACCCTAAATTGAAAACAAATAGTTCCATATGCAAATAGAAACATAAAAATTCATGCAAAGCCATAATTAATACGATTTGCAAAGTATGGAAAATTCACCCAAAATGGACCAAAAATTATCCACCAATGTATGTGCCTAATACCACATCACACCCTCCCAAAGTGTGCCTATACACAAATATGATATATACAGACTTTCATCATATTCTTCACCTTCAAATGATTGGAGCTCATTTTTCAAATCCCTAATTCTCTCATCAAGTTCTGAAATCACCCAGATTAAAAGGAACATGAACTCTTTACTTTTGACTGAAATAACAATCGTGCAACAAAACAACTCTCATAATACATGTAATGCAAACACCATTAGGTATGGTATATATGGGAGTAAAACCAAGCATGATTGGCAAGAAAAAGAAGCATAAGAAAAAGAGGCGGAGTTGCGGACGAGAGAGAGAGGCGGAGTCGCGTGTTCATTTAGCTATTTTTAGCTTCTTTGTGCAAGGAGAACGAGTGAGGATTTTTTATACTATTGGACTCTACAATCCCATTTAAGTTAGTCCCCTTTCTAACCGAACATGAGCTTCAGGTTCATTTAGCATAGTCCTATCTAGTGAGCCCTATAAACATGCACTTATTGTATTGGAAGGCTTTGTTATAGTGTTTTTTTCCCTAACACTTACCTAATATGTTTTTAAGAAACTTCTTACCAAACCAATATTTAATGTTGTCAACACAGTGGGGATGATGATATCTTATTGGGCTTCAGCCATAAGCAGTTATGAGGTGCCGTACACGTTCGCGTGTTGGGTGACATTACTACTGACATGTGGGGTATATTGTGGAGCCCTAAGTTTTGGTCTTAAGTTTTCAGTATGGTTTCCCTTGTGCTTCCTCTCCACCCTTATAGAGGTTGCGGCCGTCACATTGCGGCTAGCCAGCCACCGACTTTAGAACCAGCTCATTGTTATGTTTTGGGCCTAACCCCACCAAGCTTCCTCAACCGCCTAACCCCCACCTTGTTTCGTCAGCCAAGTGTGCTCCCTCTTCTCTTGTTCTTCTAGTGATGAAGAATAGAGAGAAGATTGAGACTGGAATGACAATTGGACTAACAACCTTCTTAACATAGGAAAGAAGAAAAGATGTGTAGAAGTATGACAAAGAAGAATGAGACATTTTTTTTTGTAAACACTCATGCCCTGATGGGTTGATGAATCTTGTATGTCTTGTATGGAATTGCCTCCATATTTTTTTTGGAACTATAGGTTGTATAATTCAAATCTCTTAATCTTCCTATGACGCCTAAAATTGAAGCACTTCCAATTCAGGACACTTTTGATGAAATTTATTGTATGTCTTGTATGGAATTGCCTTGGCCTTTTTTTATTTTTGGAACTATGAGTTGTATAATTCAAATATCTTAATCTTCTTTTGATGCCTAAAATTGAAGCACTTCTAACTAAAATATTATAATTGAAGCAAACAAAAAAATCTTGAAGTGGATAAACCTTTTATTAATTAGAAGCTTGAGACCAAAGAAATTCAGTTTCCGTTTATTAAGCCAGAAGATTAGTTGGGCGGCATATTAACAAAGGCAGTCTCTTGTAAATTGTTCCACAACTTATTGGACAAGTTGGACATCGACGACATCTATGCACCAACTTGAGAAAGAGTGTTAGCATGACTTATTAGGAAAGCTTCTATCCTAAGAAACTCAAATTATTGACTTCTTGAGATTGTGTGTATTTAATGTTGTGTAATTCTGTTGGGATTAGGGATACTGTAATTTGTGTAAAATTACACTATCAATTGCAGTAGATTTTAGTATGAGCTTGGAGACAAAGCTACCTACTTGTATAAATATGTTTAATTGTAATACAAAATTAGGTTATTGAATCATAAACAAAGTCTTTCATACACTCACATATTTCCGGATTTTAACATGATATCAGAGCAGCAATCTTGGGATTGCTGACTCTAGTTTCAAATTCTAACTATAGGGGATGATGATTTCTTCATTCCCCATAGAGGTAGCACCACCAATCCCTCTACCACTAAGACCTAGAAACTAGAAGAATTGATGACCGAGATGACCCAGTTTTTGAAGATGCACAACGAGATATCGACTTGACCGACCGGCCACACCTTGATTGGGTGTTTTCCACTGACATCATCCCTCATAGAGGAGTCCAATTTTCTTGTTACCAAATGCCTTGTGACCCCATGTTTCTCTTATAGTTTTTTAACATTTGGCAAACCATTTAACAATGCTTTACTTTTAACTTAAGTCTAACTCCCATCATCCCACCCAGCCAACACCCATCCTCCCTTTCTCTGACTTAAGCCCTCTTTGATCTAGCCTAACACCACCACCACTGCCCCTTCGTTTCTCTCTCTCTCTCTCTCTCTCTCTCTCTCTCCGACAGAGAACCCCCCTGTCCTATTATCTCTTCTTTGTTTTCGAATAATGCATTTTTTAGATTTTTTTTTTGTCAGAATATTCATTTGAGTTTGTACGATTTCACCCTATATCTACCGGGTTCCTTGATTTTAATTGAAAAATGTTGTTTTCTTAATTTATTTGTGCTTGGAGGAAATTTATTTATATAACTATGTTAGTTAGAATGTTGCTATGTTATTCTTGAGGATGATAACTACTTGGAGTTGTCATGTTGTCAAAAGATTTTTCATGTGGGGTTGCTTACAGGATTGGAGTTTATTTGTTGGAAGTTAACTTTTAATATTTCAGCCATCTCATCCCGACCAGCTACCACTGCCACCAAAGCAGCTTAGTTAGAAAATCCAAAAGACTTCTCAACCTACTCAAATTCAATGAGAAACGAAATCAAAATTAATTCATATTGTATTAGAATTCAAAACCAAAATTTAATTTACCCCAAATATTCAAAAATAATTCATGTAATCTAATGCCTCTATCAGCTGGACTAGACGAGTGGTTGAGATAGGGAGGGAAAATGTGGGCTACCGTAGTTGGGTGGGGTGGTTCTCTGTCTAGGTTTTGCTGGTGATAAGCTAGAGAAAGGTGGAGTTGGGCTTGTTGGGATGATGGGAGGTTGACTTAATAGAGTTAACAGTGTTAAAAGTGATGTTAAGTGGTTTGCCACATGTCAAAACTTAGGAGAGAAATAGGGTGATATAGGGCATTTAGTACAGGAAAATTGGACTCCTCATAGAGGTAGCACCACCAATCCCTCTACCATAAGACCTAGAAACTAGAAGAATTGACCATCGAGATGACCCAGTTTTTGAATGTTCACAACGATATACCGACCCGATTGACCGGCCCACACCTTGATTGGATGTTGACATTGACCCGACCAACCGGCCACACCTTGACGGGGTCTTGCCATCGACCCGATCAACTCTGACTCACTCTATATCCTATGAATCTTCTGCTACACACAAATCGAGACCCATATGATTAACTACGATGTGGACTTGTCTCCACATGTGGCCCACTATGTGATGGTCTCACTTAAGGGGACATGTTGAAATGGATCGACATTTTATTAAGCACAAGCAAAGAGGCCAAAGAAATTTAGTTTCCATTTGTTAATTCAGAAGATCAGTTGACTAACATATTAACAAAGGTAGTCTCTTGTAAAGCATTCTACAACTCACTGGACAAGTTAGGCATCAACGACATCCATGCACCAACTTGAGGGGGATTGTTAGTATGACTTGTTAAGAAAGCTTCTATCCTAGGAAACTCAAATTGTTGACTTCTTGGGATCTTTTATATTGGATGTTGTGTAATTATGTTGGGAATAGGGATATTGTAATATGCAATTACACAAAATACAATATCAATTACACTAGATTTTAGGATGAGCTTAGAGGCTAAGCTACCTGCTTTTATAAATACTTTTGATTGTAATACAAAATTAGGTCATTGAACCATAAACAAACACTCTCATATTCTAGATTTTAATCAGATTCAGTCATATGCTCTAAATATGTTGTTCCGTCAATTTTTTTTTGGGAAAGATATTTAACAATTCATTTATTTATTTCATTTTATATGATGTTATGTTGTATAGCTTTCTCTATAGCTTCATTTTCTCTATCTATTTAAATAATCTACCCTCATTCACAATTTTTTTTTGCCTTTCTTTCTTATGATAGAAACATAGCAAATCTATTAAAATTCGGTAGAAACAGTAAAAATAACGTAACAATACAACGGAAATGAAATACATAAATCCTTAAAATAAAGCAACAACTTAAAAGAAAAACAAGTTACACATCAAGAACAGTAAATCAACCCGAAACCCTATAAATATCCTTTCCAGCTCACTAGCACAGGTACCGCTTAACATTGTCAACTCTTGCTCCGACTACCTTTAATTACCATAAAGGTGGTATGAAATTTCTTCTCGTTTAATGTAATCACAAGACTATGAAGGTGCATGTCACAAATCCATTGCAAATCACATCGTATTAAAAAAAAGGGTGCTAGGCTTGTGTTTAAGATGTATGAGTACATCGCCCACAAAAATATG